ATGGAGACACTTGTGAAGACTAAAATTGAGTATCTAGCCTATGCCAACAGTCAAGAGCTATGTGATTAGCTTTACCACAGATTTGGCACACAATGCCAAATTGTCCTCTTCCTCTTCCTTGAGATCTGCCACAAGAGGATCTTCCTGAATAGAATCGAGTGCCTCTATGAGAACCTCTAGAATCACCACGAGAAGAACCTCTGTTTTGATGATAAGAGTTAAATCCTCTAGAAATATTAGAAGCAGCATGAGAGTCTGTCACAGTTGCATAAGCAACAGTTAGATCAGAACTGTGTTTTAATTTTCCTTCAATGTAAATAGCTTCTGAACAAAGTAGAGCAGAGAGATCCTCCATAGAAATGGACTCTGCACGAGTTCGAATAGCTATTTTAACTGCATCATATTCAGAAGGCAATCCATTCAATGTAAGAAGAACAATATCCTCATCTTCCACAAATGACGAAGCAATACGTAACTGATCGACAATACTTGCTCAAATACACCTCTATTGAGTCTGATTCCTTTGAAATAGAACTCAATTTGTTCTTTAACTGGTGGATATGAGACCTAGAGAGAGAGGTAAAGCGTTTATCAAGAAATTGCCAGACCTGAGCACTGGTGTGAAGATGTAACACGGAAGTGAAAATCGCAGGAGAGAGAGTAGCAGTGATGCAACTGAGTAGATGCGCATCAATCATCTTCCATCTAACAGCTTCTGGATTTTGAATTTCCATTCCGGCAGACTGTCGTATTGTGTCAACAGGACACTTCTTTGAGCCATCAACAATGGCGAGTAGATCTGTTGCTCGAAGTAGATTCTGTATTTGATTCTTCCAAATAACAAAATTCGAGCCATCCAGCTTCACTGTTACAAGAGAACTGAGATTCGATAGCAATAGATTGAGATTGGAAGGAACAGCAGAGGACTCCATAGATGAAGCTTGAGAATTGCTCGCGAGAGCTTCTTGGTGCTCTGATACCATGACGAAAGGTAAAGTAAAAACAAAGATATCTTCATACCATATTATAAGAGATTACAAGTCATATTTATATACCAGTACAGGTAACAAACTAACAAACTAATTAACCTAACCACACTTCTAACTAACTACACATCATGTAACTAAGTAACTAACTAAAGTTGTTACAATCTAACTAAATCAGTTACAATCTATTAAAGAATGTTGTTTACAGCTGCAGCACATGACACTTGATGAACAACACATTACACTGAATGATTACACTGAATGAACCTCCTCTTGGACCTCTTCCTTATCAGGCTCAAGCCTATACAAATTGAAACAATGGCTTTAGGCCTCGATTGCAAGAAGGCCTCAAAATTTTCATATACCATAAGTTAAATACAATTCAATTGTTTCTTATAAAGTCTACTTGTTGACGGCCTCCACAAAACCAACTCAAGAAAAATGAAGAAGGAAAAAAAATGTACTCCCATGAGCATAATACAATTTTAAAATTTTGGTAAAAACGTCTATCGATTTTGTATACATTTGTCATATGCACACTTTCTTTCTTTTTTCTTCTTCTTCTTCTTTTTTCTTTTTATTTTTTTATTAATTAAATAAAGGTTCACATTGAAAAGGACTTGATAAATTTTAAAAAGCTTAAAATATATAAGGAAGCTCACTTTAAAAGAGACTCCACCAATTTAAAATACGTTGTACAAACTATTCTTAGTTTTCACTTTGAATTTATAAGCTTTATTTATTTGATAACTTTTGGCATTTTTAATTTCTTTTTTTGTTTCATAGCTAAATATTTTAAATAACTTCCAAATTTTAGTCATGAGAATGGAAGTGAGATATGAATTTTACATGATATACAATTTACTAAAAATAATAAATATGATTTACATTTAAATTTAAAACATAAAAAGCCTCACAATAAATTTTTTCTTTAGGCCTCGTGAAGGCTTAAGCCGGCCCTGCTTTCATTTAAACCATACACCAAAAGTGGAGGTTGAACCTTCTGACCCCATGCTTTAAGAGGTGCTTTAAATTGGAGTAATAAGATTCGCTAATCAAATATATGCTTTAACATTTTTATTTCCTGATCATTTTAGTATTTTTTTTCATGGTGATCGTGTTGTGTGTGATGCAATAGTAGATTTCAGCTAGGTCCTTAAAATACGTCAAAATAAATTGCTTGGTTAGAGTTTTTCAAAAACACTTTTCAGAAAATTCGACTTTCTTGTTTTCTGTATTTTTTTGTTTTTACTGAATTTTTTTAATATTTTCATATTTTTTTTTAATTTTTAGACATTCCTAACATAAATATACCTAAAAAGTAAAAAAATTGTGAAAAAACCTTCTAAAAATTCACTAAATACCAAAAATATAAAAAAAAAATACGAGAAGTCAGTACATTTTTTTATATTTTTATGTATTTATTAAAATTTTAAAATATTTTTTCATAATTTTTTTACTTTTTAGATACATTTAAGTAAGGTGCATCTAAAAAAATAAAAAAAAATGTTTAAAATTTTAAAAATATTCACTAAAAACAAAAAAATACGAAACCAAAAAACTCAGTTTTCAAAAAACTTAATCTAAAAAACTGAAACCAAATACACTGGTACACAAAACAATGTACATGTTTATGTCCTGTTTTGAGTAGTTGAATTTGTAATGGTTACATGGATGCCTGAATGTTCTATTTGTAAGGATATCATTTTGTGGGCTATTTTATCTTGAGACTCACAGCATGCATCAATGGAATAAGAGAAAATAAAGAATTTTATGTGATTAAAAGGAAAGGAATTGATGCATCCCGTAATCAACATTTGTCCCATTTTGTAACTTAGAACAGTTTTGTAAGACTGACAAGAAAGGAATTGATGCATTTGGTAATTACTTTGATTTCTTTTCTGATTTACATAAGTAGAATATGTTTGAAACATTTTTATATTAATTGTAGTTATTGTCCTGAGACCAAAGAGGATAAAGTAAGGGTGGTGACAAAAAAGAAGGAATTGTACTTTTGCCTCTGCTTCTTTTGCTACAAACGAATAATCATTTATTGCTTTTGCCTTTTCCTATGCTTTGATGTGAAGTTAAGAATTTCTGAAATGGAGGCAACTGTAATAGATTCCAAAACTAGTTTAGAATTCAAGTGTAATGCAATCATGAAAGAGTGAGGGAATTTTCTACTTTGAGGGAAACCATTGACACTTCATTTTTATCTTTGTGCACTTTACCTTGTGACTATTTGATTATCTTGGAGAAACAGATTTGTGTTTTCAAAAAAATATCTGACTTTTTAATAAAGAAAGTGGCATATGTGACTTGACTTCCTCAATAAATTTTGTAGGTACTTAATACCAATCTACTGCTTCTTTCGCACTTCAAGCATTATATTGATATTGAAACTATAACCTGGAAGGCACTTGACCATTATAAACCCCTCAAATCATGTTTACATACCACACTCTCTCTCTCTCTCTCTCTCTCTCTCTCTCTCTACCATTCAAGCGTGAGTTTCCTGTTTGTATTTTGTTCTTTAACTCCCTCTTCATTGATCAGCTTAAGGGTGCTTTGTGAAACTGAGACATTTTAGCTTGGTTGGAGAACAAGAAAGAGGTATGCCCTGAAGACTTCTTAGTGCCGTTTGATTATATATAGTTATGAATAGATATCTTTTGTTTCAACTGCACTCATTTGCTATTAGGATGGTATTGTTTGAGCTCATTTTATTTGTTTGGAAGTTTGTTTGCACCTTTCCAACTTGCTGGTTTTGTTGTTGCCTTTGGTTTTTCCACTTAATGCATTTTCAGTGGCCTCTTTCCATTGATGTTCTCATAAATACCTTTTTGTACTCATTAGTTTTCATCAACGATAATTGTTTTTTTCTTTACCGATAAAAAATAAAAATCAAAAGCAATTCAAAACTTGGCATGGAGACATAGAGGTATAGTGGAGATTCAAGTTCAATACAAATTTGATCTATCTTTTCCATTGTGGTTGTTGTTGTTGTTGTTGTTGTTGTTTTTTTTTTTTTTTTTTTTTTTTTTTTTTTTTTTTTTTTTTTTTTTTTTTTTTTTTTTTGTTGTTGTTGCTATTGTTGTTGTTGTTAATTAGTAAGATTATTTACAAATATCATGAGAATGACATCAGACTAGACAATTGACTACGTAAAAAAAAGTACAACACATACCTATGAGCCTAAACTAACACCAATAACCTCAAATGTAAGGAAGAGTCTCACAATGAAGAAAAAATAAAAACCTTAACGCAAAATCTCGAGTGGCCAATTGAGCTAGTTCCAATTGGTTAATGCGAACTTGGCGTGAAGAGGTAAAGTCATGTATTGCATTGACATATCATGTAGATGTTATCTTCGGAATTGAATTTTTTAATAATTTTTTGATTTTTATGAAAAGATATATGAAAAAAAGCATAGAGAATAAATTAACTTTTTATTGTAACTTTTTTGGCCAAAACTTCATGTTCCCGACAAAACAACTCTTAGTTAGGTTGTTGGTTTAAGTTTGGTTTGAGATCTTGACCATATTGGACTATAAGCTAGATCACCCAAGAGACTTGATATTTACAACCCATAATCTTTCCCTTTGTGCTTGAACTTGTGTTTCTTGTCGAAATTCAATTTTAAATTGAAGTTTGGTTTAGTTTTGAAAATTAATTTTGGATTTTTTTATTTTTCAGATTTTTTTAGTGAATTTAATAAAAAAATTTCAAAAAACATTTACTTTTTAAATGTATTTAAGTTAGGTACATCTAAAAAGTAAAAACACTAAGCTTGCTTTGAAAATCCTGTGTGACAAACATATTTCAGTTGTATTCACATTTGTTTTGGTTGAAATGTTGTGATATTTTGAGTGTTTAGTGAATCAATACTCAATTGATCGGCCCTCAAAATCAATTGCTTGAACTTCCTGAACAAGTCTTCTTGGACTGCTCTGTAACGCCCCAACTTTCAGGCCGTCAAATAAGTACAATATTACCACACAAATAGGGTAGATAACCAAAACATCTTAACATACATATATAACCAGAGTTAGTATCACGGATCATTCGTTTATTTTCCATTGCAGGATTACAAAACATTGAAAACAAAACAACTAGTCTAAGTCTTCAGATGAACCACCGCTCCAACACTTCATCGTATTTGCCTTCGCAATAACTTTCACCATTATAACTGCTTCACCACCTGGCATGACACACCGTGAGCTTGGAATGCCCAGTAAAAACACACACATCCCCATGTCTTCTATCAACCAATCAACCATACATAGGACAAATTGGGTAACATAACATGCAAAATTACAACAAGGTTCTATGAATTAGGAGTTTGCCTAGACATCTAGGATCCCCCAAAGAGATCCTTCTACCCAACCACAAGGCTGAACACCGGATTACTCAGACTCCCCCTTTTGCTGCTTTGCAGACCTTACCACCTATGCCCATCTCCTGGTTATTTACCGGTTAGTGACATTGATGGACCTCAAAAGGGACGGCCAAACAAGTGGGCTCGCTTACACCCAAATCGTGCCTAGGGCTCGCTTACACCCTGCACATACCATACCAAATCGTGCCTAGGGCTCGCTTACACCCTGCACATATCATACCAAAGGGCTCGCTTACACCCTGAAACCACCGCATAGAGTCTGAATACATCCGTGTCAACCTGGGGGCTCGTTTAGACCGCTTGCGCAAGACTTAACTCATTTGGTTTTAATTCCATTCACATGTTCAATACATAAATCATTCTGAAGCACAAGGGTGAACGTCACCCACTACCAACCCCTTTCCATTTCCCATTTATTAGATCTTTTGCCAAGCAAGCTAGTCACATTCGGTAATTCGGTAATATAAAAGAGCATGAGACAAACAAAAGAAATGAAATGTAGCCCATGATAATCATACATAGGTATGGTAAGGCAAGAAAATAACATTAGGCATGCTTTAAAATACTTAGAGACAAACAACACAACAAAACACCATTTCCAGCACTGTTCGGTTCTGCAGGGCTAACAGGAACGCTTTGGTAAAAATACTTATAGGTCAAATTAGGGGCTGAAATTTCAGAGAAACAATATTCAATCTGTCTAGTTTCAGTTCCAATTTTCAGAAGTTGCACAGCACCTCCACAAATTCATCTACAAACTATATTCGAAAACCTGTCCAGATTTGTCACCCTTTGGGGAAACTAACTTTTCTCTCAATCTACCCGATGGTTTTCACTCAAATAAAATCTGTTGGAAAGAGGACTCAGAGTTATAAATTTTGATAGAAGAACCAACATGAGGTGATTTTTCTAGAATTTTATAAAATTTCTAAAAGTGGACTGTTTTTCACAGATTCAGGACCAGATTTTTCAACAATTTATCCAAGCCCTAAAAACAAACAATTAGGAGATAATAAAATTTTCACAAGCTCTAAACACACCAAATATCCTACCATAAATTCAGATTTGAGAATTAAATAGATTTGATATTTATTTTAAATTAGGGAAGTTGCAGCAGTGCCTAATTTCACAAATTTGTAAGACAATGGCAATTGATCATACTCACACTTCAACATACACCAAAAACCCTATTTACCATTAATTTGCAGCTCAAGAGGCATATTAGACAATAGAAGGAGATGGTGAAAGAATTGGAGAAGACAAAGGAGGGGTATGTTCTTACCTTTTTGAGAGTCACCCTTATTATTATTTTTTTTCTTCTTCTTCTTCTCTACTTCCTTTGATCACACTTTCACCCTCTCACCCTCTCCCTAGGCTGTTGAAAATGTGGGGTGAAAATTGAGACAAAGTTCTCAATTTATAAGCCATGAAATAGGGCTAGCTTAATGACTAAGAAAAAGCATAAAAATCTAGATATTTTTCCATTGCTCAAATAAGTATTAAAATAAATAATAAAACTATTTATTTAAAGATATGTGTAGATATTTATTTAAAGATATTTATTTGCTCAATTAAATAATAAAGGTTCAAAGAAAATAATAAAAATTCAAAGAACTAATAAATATTCAATTAGGCTAAAAATAAATTTGATGAATTAATTTAGAAACTAGGAGGTACATAAATAAAAGCCAAGTGTTAGGGTATTTCCAAATATAAAAATGGCATTCTATGATTTAATTATAATACAAAATAAAATACAGAAAAATTATTCTTTCTTGGACCATTTTGTAAAATTTTATAAAATTTGGGATTAAAATGTTATTAACCTAAGGCTTAGGGTATCAAGTGTAATTACCAAAAATTAGGGTCTCTACATGCTCGAGCGATTAAAAGGGCGCTGGAGCGAACATTTTAGCCTTGCAACATCTTAGCATGTGGATTGAGATCTTGCAAGCTTTACTTGATCACTCAAACGACTAATTGTGCACTTGAGCAAACTTGGGAAGCTTGTAGTTTCTCAAACTGAGTTATTAAGATACTGAGAGGTTGGGTTTACTGCTCGAGCGATGGTCTGTGTGCTCGAGCGAAGGGACAGTTTCTAAAGGCATTTTGGAAGTTTAGAGTTTGTTACAACTGACTCATTAGACACACCACTCGAGCAGTCATTCCTGTGCTCGAGCAGTCTATGTGAGTTTGTTAGGTTATAATCGCCTCATATTTCTAGATTTGGATCTGTCTCATCCAGCTTTCTCTTTAAAGACACCAAAAGTAAAGTGTGATTTCTATGAGAGTTTTGTTGATTTCCTCTTGTTAATTCATTGAGGTTTTTGCATATCTCATGGATTGAATTGTTTTCATGAAGAGGGCTGTTGTGATAGATCATCTTTTATAGCGTTCTACCGGTGGAATCCAGATTGAGTTAGAGCTTGTGGATTCAAGTTCAACAATGGATGAATCCTAGATAAAGAGTGGGCAATGAAGATTGAGAAAAGTCTTCAGTTGATCTTGTGTGGATTCATAAGTGAGTTGACTTGGTGTGATCTCTTCTAATCTTCATTCTCTTGTTAGTGGATTTGTTCACCCTTTTGGGTTCTGAATTTTTTTTAATCACAATTGACAATTTTTTTTAATCACAATTGGAAGAGGTCAATTGTGTGTTTGTGTGTGTGTGTGTGTGTGTGTGTGTGTGTGTGTGTGTGTGTGTGTGTGTGTTTTTAATTTATATGTTAACCCATTGGTGTTTGATTTTTAATTTCTTAGATTCAATCTAAATCAAATCCTTCTAGGTTTGTTGATATAGAATGACTATTGTTTGGGATTTTGGATTATTGATAATGGCCTTGTTTGGCTAGAGGCTATTTGGCTAAAATAGCCAATAAGACAAAATGTTACATATAATCCATAATCATTTCATTTTTTCTTTAACAACCATCAAATATATAAAAAAAAAAAAAAAAAAACTAACTATCATCCCAAACACAACTTTTTTAGCCAGGCTAAAATAGTTAAAAAGCCAAATAGCCAAATAAAATAGCCTATTCCTAAATAGGGTCATAGATAATGAATCACATAATTTAGGTTTTTCAATTGGTATCAGAGCGGGTTAGTCGTTCTTTGACTGTGTTTTTATCAAAGCTTTAGGAGTGTGATCTTGTGTGATTTATGAATATTTATTCAATTTGTGTGGGTAATTCCACTGATTGTCCTCTTTTACTTGATGGAACAAGCTACTTGTATTGTAAAGCTCGCATGCGAGCTTTTTAAAAATCTGTTAGTGTGAAAGTTTGGCATTTCGTCATCTATGGGTGGAGTAAACCTATAGTGACCATCGATAATGTCACAATTCCCAAACCAATTGACAAATTGGACATGGATGACTACCAAAACTCTAGCTGGAATAACAAGGCTCTCAATTCTCTCTTTTACTTCATTACATCGGAGAAATTCCGTTGCATTTAGACATGTGAGGTACCAAAAGAGGCATAAGATATCCTTGAGATAATTCATGAGGGCACAACCTTTGTTAAATGTTCAAAACTTCAAGGCTCATCAATGGTTTTGAAATCCTTAAAATACGGGAGGATGAGACCTTTGTTGAGTTTTATGCCAAGCTCCGTGACATTATTAATTCTTGTTTTACTTTGGAAGAGAAAATCCTTGAGGTTAGAGGTGTTTGAAAGGTTTTGAGGTCCTTACCCAATCATTTCCAACCAAAGGTTATGGTTATAGAAGAGGTTCAAGATGTTGATAACCTAAAGTTGGACCAATTGGGTGGAAATTTGCAAACCTATGATGCACAACTTATTTCAAAGAAAAGCAAAAAGATGCTGCTAGATTTAATTGTACTCATAGAGATGTAAAGAGTCCAGAGGTGGATGTGGAGTTTGATTCCGTACTGACAACTTTATTTACAAAACAATTCAAAAAGTTTTGAGAAAAAAACGCCTAATTTCAATGATTCAAATCCAAAGGACAAGGGTAATGACAAGTTCAAACCAGTTCTAAAACCAGAAAAAAAGATTACAAGAGGTCAAGGCATCAAGTATTATGAATGCCAATGCTTTGGTCATGTTGCTCTTGAATGTGCTAATAAGAAGAACAAGAAGAAAGTCTACACTGTGACTTAGGATGATAAATGTGGGACTGATAAAGAAGATGATGAGATTGGCTCGGTTGATGAAGATAGTGAAGGACCATACATGGCCTTCTATGCAACATTCCCTCAAACAACACCCAAGCAGTTAGTTTCCCATGAGGACCAAGTCCACACCAAGCACCCATATTTGTTAGGAGTAATTATCTTTATTGGAAATGTAGGATGAGAGTGTTCTCATGGCTTGGAATCTGGATGGATGGCACACTATCGAAGAAAAATTTGAAGTGCTATATGTGATCAATTTGGAAACACTTGAGAAAATTGTCAAGCCAATTGAGGAATGGAGTGCAAGTCAAAGGCAAAATATAGAGACTAGCTTGCGTGCCTTGAGTGAAATTTGACAAGCAATTTATGAAGAAGAAAAACAATGCATCTCTCGTTATGAGAATACAAAAGATGCTTGGGAAACCCTAAGGCAATTTCATGAAATAGGGGAATCTTCTATACAAGCATTTAGTACCTCAAGGTTCAATGCTCTAGTAGCAAGGTTGGACATTTCCACTAAAGAAGAGAATTTGACTGATAAACAAGAGGATGATTGTGCTTGCATGGGTCTTCTGAAAATGGAGAAACATCTAAAAGTGAGAATGAAGAGTTGGGAGATAAAATAGATGATCAAGAGCTTTATCAAGCCTATAAGTTGTACAAAGAATGTTACAACTTGTCAAAGTTGCATGACAAGCTCACCACCAGACTCAAGGTATGTGAGAAAAAGAGTGAAAAGCTTTCCAAGGCAAAGAAGCCATTAAAGTCTCAATTGATTGATAACATCTTTGTGCGAAACTCTTAGCTTGTGAATATGAGAGAAATGAGTAATTAAAAGCACATGAGTTGTGTGATGCAAAGATCGAATCTCTTGAAATGTCTCAAATTCAATTGGATGAGCAAGTCATCAAGGTAGAAGAAGACCTCAAGCGTGCTAAGGCTACTATTGGTCTTTGGAACAAAGGATCATAGACATTGGAAAATATCACAGGCTCACAACAAATGGGGTTTGACAAGAGCGAAATTGGCTTTGGTGATGACAAGATGCAAAAGTGGAATGCTTCCACGTCTCATAATACAAGGATTCCAGGAAAAGGGAAGCAAAATATGCAACATGGTGATGAGTCCCTCAACCACCCTAAGGTTGCTATTATCAAAGAGAGGAAGGTAAACTCTATTTTCATATGTCATCATTGTGGTAGGTTTGGTCATATTCACCCTTATTGCTTGGAATTGTATAGGAGGGTGTCTCAAAGAGGTAGAAGAAATTCTAACACCTCTTGGGTTAGGAGACAACCTTTCATGTCTAAGTGGAATACTATAGGCCAAAATGGTGTTCACAATGCTAAGACTCCACCAAGAACTGTGTTGAATCCACTCTTGTTATGACAAGAATAGTTTAGGTGAGAAAGAGTGATTTGTCTTGTTTTGTTGTTCACACTACTTACAAAGCACATGACACATGCAAGTGGTATCTTGATAGTGGTTGCTCTTGTCAAATGCCTGGTGACAAATCCTACTTCACATCCATTGAAAGATATGAAGGAGTTCTTGTTATTTTAAGAGATGACAACACTTCTAGAGTCATTGGTAAGGATTTTATAAGTGCTTCTGGTCTTCCAAAGTTGGATAGTGTGTTACTTGTTGATAGACTTAAAGCTAATCTCTGAAGCATTAGTCAAATGTGTGACTTTTATCATGAGATATTGTTTTCAAAGGATAAATGTCAGAATTTGGATAAAAAGGGAAATATTGTGATGCAAAATGTGCGCATATCTAATAATTGTTATGGGATAGTTGCTGCTAGTGACCTCACTTGTCATTCAATTATCATGGGCAATCTAGACCTGTGGCATCAATAGTTAGGTCATATCAATTTCAAAAACCTAGCCAAGATAGCCAATAAGAAGCTAGTGCGAGGCATACCCAAATTGGGTAAGTTAATAAACCAAGTGTGTGGGCTATGTTAGTTAGGAAAGCAATCTAGAACTCCATATAAGAAGGTGATTGGCCTTACAATCAAGCGCCCTCTTGAACTGGTTCATATGGATCTTATGGGCTCTACTCACACTAAAAGCATTAGAGGTAAATGATACATTTTCTTGACTGTTGATGATTTCACCCATTTCTGATGGGTAAATTTTTTATGTGAAAAATCAAATACATTTGATGCTTTAAAGTCCTTGGTCATGAGAATCCAGAATGACAAGGTGTTACTATTAGGCATATCACAAGAATCTGTACTGATCATGGGCGTGAGTTTGAGAATAGATCCTTCTTGGATTTTTGTGACATGCATGGTATTAAGGATGAGTTTTTTGCCCCTATTACTCCACAGCAAAATGGGGTTGTTGAGAGAAAAAACTGTGTGGTTTAAGAAATAGCGAGGGTTATGCTCCTAGGCAAGAAAGTACCTCTAAAGCTGTTTACGTTGTCAACCATGTGTATTTGAGGCACAATACATTACAAGCATCATGTGAACTTTGGAAAGGCTTGAAACGTAATGTGCAATACTTCAAAATTTTCGGAAGTAAGTGCTACATCTTTAAGGATAAAAAGCCCTTGGGTAAGTTTGACTT